AACAGCTACTGTTCCCAGAGGGTAGAAGGCTTGGTTGGTCTGGGCGGGAAACGAAATGGGATTTGAACCCAGGAGCGCGAAAAAGAGAGCACGATACTTGTCACTACATCATCTTTCTCCCCCTCAGTTCTAACGTGTTGAGCGATTCGTTGAGCATTTTGTTATAGACAGTATCTCTAACTGCTCTCTTTTTAAAAATTTCTTCAAAAATTCTCACATCTGTCACTTTTGGTGGTCGATATGGTTCAGTCTGCCAATAACCATACACATCCAAATATCGTTGCTCCCGCTCTTCGGCTGGAACTCGTATATTCGGCCGAGCTTTTACCACTTTGTAGGGCTTCTCTCCTTCCTTTAATTTTGCAAAATGACATTATACTATTGCATAAGTGCTGAACATGTACCTTCACACTCCTGGCCTGCTTTATCCAATTATTGGCACCCTGGAGGGTATGGACGGTAGACCGCGGATAAACCTTGTGACCACGAACTTCACCCAAAGGTTTTTGATCTTCTGGTCTTGGGTAAATAGCCTCGAACTTTAGAAGATCCTTCTCCAGCACATATCTATCCGGAAGATTCACTATTAAGTAAGTCTAAACGAATAAATCTGGCTTTCTCTCACAGTGGGTGGTTCTTATATTCCGATAAAGTGGTTGGTAATGGTTTATTGACGAGCTCCTTCTTGAAGTGAACGTCTTCCAGTCTAGCTCTCTTACGGTTGGCTCGAATGGCCTAAAAACGACATGTGAAAGACTATAACAACATCACTGGTAATTTATCAATGACCAGAAATTAGCGCCCCTAGAAAGGCGGTTGAAGGTCGAGACCCAGCGGGAATCTGAACCTCTTTCTCAACTGAAGTTCTATAGAAGACTTTGGCCGCTAAATAAGCAAAACGAGAGAAGCACTGGATCTGCAGACTTTCCATGTATTGCTGACGACACATTCCACGAAATTCGGAGGGGCGGAGACTCCTAACCACCAAGCTTTCCTCACTGGTGCGGCTTCTCTCTTTTACAACTTCAGAAGGACTGCCGCGGAACGTGCCTCTAAAGTAATGAAAACGGTAAACCATCAGCCTTATCAGTCCCTCAATGAGATGGACTAAGCATTTCCCTCCCGGTTATGGTGCCATTTGAATGCCTTGGCTCAGCGTCTGGTCTTGTAAGGGCTTGAACATCAGCTTTACCCTGCAGTGCATGCAGGGGCCAGCTGATATATGAGGTTCTATCCGATTTCTGGCAATGATTCTTTCCGAGACTGGACCCCAAAACTAGCGGCCCTCGTTCGAGAAAAAAAAGATAAATTTCGATGAAAAAAAATGAGCTATTCCGGAAGAGTACAAACACCCATCTGCTCATAGCTAAGAATCCCCGCTCTTTTTATGAGACCGTAAGACCGTTATACTTGCCTTAAAACACATCTCTTGCCTCAATGAGCTTTTTCACTCCCACCCACTCTTACTTTCTCTCTCCTCGTGATTTTATTTGTACCTTATTCATCAAAGTACTGCCAAGCCAATCTGGATCGGTTCGGCGTCGACGAAAATCGGGACGAGAGAACTCGGCTGCATACCGAGCAGTCACATCACGTACGCCGCCCTCTGCAATGCATAATTTGATTTCTACAACTATACATGACTAATAGAGGTGCGGTTCATATAAAGATGGAGATGGCGCTGTTTGGCGACCGGGGGAGGGGAGGGGGCATTTTGCACTTTAACACTTCAACGACTTCCATCGACGTGTCGACCCATCTAGACAGCCTCTTCTCGAGTTGACAGGTTTTACCATGATGGCTTGACGAGCTTGCTCCAGCTTCACAAGAGTTCACAGGTTTCACCAGAGTGAGACTTGTAAACCAGAACTAGGGGAACAACGAAAGTGCAAAATAC